AATAGTAACCAATAAAAATGACATGAAACAATTAATTAACCAATTAATTATACGAAATAAACTGCTACACTTCTGAACAAAAAAAGACGAGGTGGTTTAGTTGTGTTACATAATATGGTCTCCTTAGTTCAAAAACCCACCACAAGACGCACGCTAACTGAGCCGTTTGCTTTTATGTTTGGCTCCTGAATCGTTTCTGGACCTCTGACAGCGAGGAAAATTCTCATTAAACGTCTGCGCCCTAAAAATGAGACTCACTTGCAAAGCAGTGAGATGAACAATTATGTTAAAATCATCCTAATCTAGTGGAGCAATCGAGGAGCTCTGTAAATTCAGCGTCACCTCATACATCCTTGTGTTGAGCGATAAGTGAAGACATACATTTTAATTCATTTACAGGGCCCTTGGCTTGCAAATTGAGCCCTCTGTCATCTTGGCCAAACCTATCGAGAGGCTTTTGATTTTGATTGAGGATCATCTGTAGAAGCACAAATGGGGCTGGAGCTCATAATTGAGCTTGAATTAATCAGAATCAAGGATAAAAGTCTGATTTCAAACTTGAACTTAAAAAATAGTTGACCCAAAAATGGCCATCATCATTTTAGTCTCAACCTCAAACATTAAGGCTGAATTGTTATGTTTCCATCCAAACGCAAAACTGCTTATTTCATAGAAGTAAACTGACATTTGCAAATAATGCAGTTTCCCTCCAGTAAGTCAAAGAGAACAAAACGGTCACTTCTTGATAAACTGGAACTAAATAACAAAAAGAAAAATGGAGTTTGCTGTGGGACTATTTTCTTATGTAATATAAAAAAAGGGAAATATGAAGATAAAGACAGCTATTGATGCTCTTTAGAGAGACACTTAAGGCAGTTTTGGAGATAATTATACTAAACCACTTTAAAGACAGACTTTGGCTAAGGGATTTTAGAATGAACAAAACAACATGTAGTCAGTCCGATGGTTTGTCCATTAATGCTGCCATCACACTCATTTTTGTTATTAAATGATCTGTGATAACATAATCACATAGCTTATTTTGATTTATTTGGTTAATGTTTTTCCATTGTAGTTTATGCATGCTTATTCTTATCGAATAAAGATTTTATCCAACTCAGTTGTGTTCAAACATTTTTAATGCGCATTTTCAAAATGTTTGAACAATTCCATTAAGCATTTATTATGTGACATTCCAAAATGCACATAAAAAAAGATGGATGGAAACTAGGCTAATGTCTCATTAATATGGCACTCAAAAATGTAAGTTATCATCTAATTGGTAGAATTCAGTAGGATTTCCATAATTCTCTAGATATATATTTAAAGAATACCTAGTGCAATAAGGTATTTAACTACAGACAAAAACAAACAAACAAACAAAAAAAAACAGCCTATATAATGATAAACTTTTTACCATTTTTGTTGTTGTTATTAATAAGACTAACACATAAAGTATTTTTTCATATCCATCTTATAGATGGTTTACACTGACCTAAACGTGACCCACACTGAAACAAACAATGATGTGTTGTTTCCATGGCAGTCAGTTGGCCTACTGTATGTGTCAGTTCTGGCAATAGGACATTATTACCAGTCAATAACCCTGTTGAACAAACTAATCAAGGTCTTACTATGTTTACTAGAAATTAGGTGTGGTGATGTTCAAGTAGGTGTTTAAGTCAAAGCACTGCTAAACATCTAAACAACGATATACAGTGAGTAATAACTTTGGAACAGCTTAAGGCACAGTTAATGTTCACAGAATTAGGGCTAAACAATATAAAGTTTCAGAATTAATATTGCAATGTGCGAACGGTTTCACTATAATGTAACAGTGTGAAAAATGTTAGTTTTTAAAGCCTGTGAACATAAGATCTAAAGCAAATCTAAAAATTTTTTGGCACAAGAAAATATAAAGTTTGTCGCTTTAACAAAATTAATTGTGTTAAATTTTAGGCTATATTGTGTTATTTACGTATGTTTATTAAATTTCTAGTCTAATCTCATAAGAAAACGTATTTTATGTTTTGTCAGTTTAGTGGCAATTTTTACACAAAAATCAGTCGTACGAAAATTAAAAAAAGTCAAATGATTTTTTTAAAGGAGGCGTGGCACCAAACCCCACCCTTAAACCCAACCACTATTGGGGGATAAGCAAATTGTACGAATGAGATCATATGATTTCATACGAATTAGCTACTGAATCAAAAAGTTACGAATTGCTGTGGGATAGCGTAGGATTGCTGTGAGGTAATTTCGGTACCTCAGTACTGTTAGACTCCCCCCAAAAAAACAAAACAAAAACTGAAGTGCTGTTGATTTCATTTTTATCTTTGTTCTATCGCTGTAATTTGTTCATTTATTTATTATATTTTTGGATAATTTTGTATATCTTAGTCAGACACCCCACACCTACAAAATCACCCCACTTAATGTAACACTAAGCCATATTGTAAAATGATAGTAATATTGGAACATATTGCAGAAAAAAAAATATCACACACTTTTTACTATTTATATTTTATAATCTCTTTTAAAATCAATATGTTTATGAATCTGCAAATAATCCTTGATTATTGTTATGCCAAAAATCCATATAATAATACCATTGTGCTTTTATACCATGAAAGTATCTTTAAATAAACAAAGATCGAGACTTGTATTCAGAACCTACAAAATATTTGTGTTATTGTGTTATTATTTTGAATACTTTGAAATGAACTAGAAATAATAAACAGTGCAAAAAATACAATCATGTTCTTAATTAACACTGGGTGTAATGAATATGATGATTGTAAATAAACAATTTGATTAAGGTCTTTGGAAGCACTGAAGCAGCTGGATGTGTCAATAGTACAACTTTTCAAAAGTCATTAAAATTGAGCAATTATGCATGCAATTATGGATCCATTGTGCGCCACGACTGACAAAGGGTTAATTTGCGTGTTTTGTGGATATCTGATGACTAATTAGTGAGCTAAACACAGGTTTAGAATGTCTCAGTGCTGGAGATTGTATTGCATTTTTCCTTTTCCCCATTAACTTTAATTGTTTCTTGGTTTGATAAACATTTACACTATTGGTGCCAAAAGTTTCAAATATGTTTTGTATGACATATGTATGTGTCATGCTCATTAAGGAAAATAGAAATGTTTAAAAATGCTATTTATTTCCATTGTCATCAGCCGATCTTTCGTGTTACATGATCTTTCTGAAATCATGCTTACTTTATATTGTTATTTATTGGTAAAACCATTAGATGTTCTTGGCGCTACTATCATTGCTACTAATAATGATTAGTATCATCAATGTTGGAACTTAAGGATCCAAAATGATTAATAAAAGCTCATTAACAATTAAATGAAAATATAAACAAAAAGAACAATATTCTATGAATAAAATATACAGACTTGTAGCCAGCCTGCATGGTGAAAATGGTCATTCCTTTTTCTCAGTTTTACGCCTCATTTTCTGCATTTTCATGACATCTTGAGCATAATGTTTTTAGCTAAATTAACTTGTAGGATGGTCATCATAACCACACTTTTTGATGTACCAAAAATAATTCCTAAAGAAATGTGAAAAAAATACTAAAAAAGTCAAGATTATTTTTCCTTCATATTCAATTAAAGAATCATAAAATTTTCCTCATTTGGAATTCGGCTATTTCAATAATAATAATAAAATAATAATAATAATAATGAGCTTCACAATTCTAGCCTCCCTTTAAAAAAAAAACTACATTTGAAAATGGATAATAACAATAGCCAAAATAATACTCAAATCTGTTTTAATGTGGGCCGCTTTTTGTGACCTTTTCTATTCATTGGCCATTTTTTGTTTGTTTCAAGAATAAGTCCAAGATTTAGAATAAAAGTTACTTGTAAAATGTTTAGTCATACAGCAGCGAAAGATAACTTCTTTTGCATCAGATTGTATGTTTTCTTGCACATCTGGATGATGGACTCTGTTATCATTTACCAAAACTGATTAGCTGAAGTCGCACTAAGGCAACAGCCAGCAGAGGATTCCGTTTGATCTTAAAGCTTTTTTCAAGTAGTTATCTTCACTGTTTTTATTGGGATAGCAGTCAAAATAGTACAAACGAGCTGATGTATGAGACAAATTCTGAAACTTTGTCAGTGATGGGTGGGTCTTTCGAACCACATGAATGTCTCCTGGCCACGGCCCTGATATAAATATATATTTTTAAAATATATGCATCATACAATATAATAAAAAATTCACAGTATATATGTAAAAGTATGTATATGTCACAGAGCCAAAATTGTAATGAATTTCACATTTTTATAAATGATATGAAAAAAAAAAAACTTTTTCCTACATATAACAAAGTATTCTTCAGTCAAAAATAATGGGTTACTGGTCAGTTACTGTCTTTACTATACAGTTTACTACACAGTTAATTTTTTTTTCTTCAAATATTTCCTAATGTTTAACAGAGCAAGGAATTTTTAACATTATTTTCTTTATTATTCTTTCTTCTGGAGAAAGTCCTATTTGTTTAATTTCGGCTGGAATAAAAGCAGTTTTTAGTTTTTTAAGGTAAACATTATTAGCCCCCTTAAGCAATATTTTTTTCTTTGATTATCTACAGCTTATACAATGACTTGCCTAATTACCCTAACTTACCTATTTAAGCTAATTACGCTTTTAAATGTTACTTTAAGCTGTATAGAAGTGTCTTGAAAAAATATCTAGTAAAATTATATTTACTGTCATCATGACAAAGGTAAAATAAATCAGTTATTAGAAATGAGTTATTAAAACTGATAAAAGCTATGTTTAGAAATTAGTTAAAAAATATTTTTGTTAAACAGAAATTGGGGAAAATATAGTGTGGGGCTAATAAATCTGACTTTAACTGTCTGTGTGATCTATCTGATAAATAAATATAGTCATACTTATTCAAAATGTTTGGTAGCAGTAATGCATTATTTTCCTTGATCAATAAGAAAAAAACAAACCTCTCTTACCCGGTAGTAGTCAGTGCTGTAAATGTCTCTCGACATCCCAAAGTCTCCTATTTTCACAAGCAGCCCATTCCCCACCAGGCAGTTGCGTGTGGCCAGGTCGCGGTGCACGAAGTGCTGAGAGCCCAGGTAAACCATCCCTGATGCGATCTGACTGGCGATGTGCAGCATCTGAGACAAACCCAGCTCTCCATTGGTCTGTAGCGGCTGTCCGTCAACCAGGATCATGGCATCTGGACCATGAGCTCTGTGAGTAACATAATATTATTATTACACTTCTGTCATTTCTGTATGATTACCACACACACTCCAGCACATTAGAATTTGAAATGGTTATTCCAGACATTAAAAGTCAGGGAATTTCTATATATTTTTATGTCCTAGTCATGAAATATCAGATTATAGACCATTTAGGGTTGTGATTTCATTGGGACATGAACATTTTCTCATTCATTCATTCATTCATTCATTTTCATCTGCTTTTCTGGGGCTGGGTTGCGGGGGCACCAGTCTTAGGAGAGAACCCCAGACTTCCCTCCCCCCAGACACTTCCTCCTGCTCCTGCAGGGGGATACCGATGTGTTCCCAGGCCAACCGAGAGACATAGTCCCTCCAGCATGTCCTGGGTCTTCCAGGAGGCCTCCGCCTGGTGGGACATACCTGGAACACCTTCCTAGCTGGGCATCCAGGAGGCATCCGAAAACAGATCCCAGAGCCACCTCAGCTGACTTCACTCAGTGTGGAGGAGCAGTGACTCCGAGCTCCTCCCGGGTGACAGAACTCCTCACCCTATCTATAAGGGTGCGTCCTGCCACCCTGTGAAGGAAACTCATTTCGGTCGATTGTATCTGAGAACTTGTCCTTTCGGTCATGACCCAAAGCTCATGACCATAGGTGAGAGTAGGAGCATAGATTGACTGGTAAATTAAGAGCTTTGTCTTTCATCTCAGCTCCTTCTTTACTACAACAGACCGGTACATCAACAGCATTACTGTTGCCGCTGTACCAATCTGACCGTCAATCTCACGCTCCATCCTTCCCTCACTCGTGAACAAAACCCCAAGAAACTCTAACTCCTCCACCTGGGGTAAGGAGTTTCCTCTAACCTGGAGATGACAAAACACCTTTTTCCAGTGGAGCACCAAGGTCCGGACTTAGAGGTGCTGAGCCTAATTCCATGTGGATTTCTCAGTTGTTAGTCTTTCGTCCTTTGGAAAAGTTTACTAATGACCTTAATCACAAAAAGGACAAATTCAGGAGACTTTGGAAACCTCTCCAATCCTTTTTACACAAACTCTGAAAATTTTTATTTTAATAGTGTTCTGGCTTCTTTTGCAATTTAAAAAATCCTTAATAAAAATAAATTAAAAATGTAAAACAGGAAATACGTTAGGAATACATTGTTATTGCTTACATCCCTTCAAATGGTCTATTGAAGCCTGACATGACATACAGTATATTTTGTGGCAAGATTTCTCCAAAATTTACTGCAATATATCTGGCATTTCTTGTGTTGTTTTGCAGTGAAAATTTACACTTAGTTCTTCTTTTTTTGTCGCTGTAATTAATATGAAGAGAACACTGAGAAACAATGAGGAAAAGCGTTTTCCTTTGAACCATATACAATAAAGCCTACTACATCATATTTGATATGACTCTAATTAATCATAATTAACAAACTGTTAAACTCTCTCCAACAAGAGCATTGGAAAAACCATATTTAAATTTTGCATTTTTTTAATCGACTCAACAAATATAATGAAAAATAAATATAATGAATATTTATTTTTTACAAGTTATGGAAATTCAGCTTTTTGCCAGGGAATAGTCAGGAAATTTCAAATTTGGCTTAGGAGTGGGAATCCTTAACATAAAATAAATGTGAGAGTCTGCAGGTGAATAGGGAGAAACATGTAAATAGTGTCATCATACCTCCCTAGTTGATCGATTTTTGTATATTATGAGTTATTTAAAAGCTTTAAATATATGTTAATAAATGTGCACTAATTTGCATATATTTCTCTCAAAACATTTTGAACATTAGAAGAAAGTTCTGTTTGTTTTTTGTGTCAAAAGCTTTTAGTAAGGGAATTTTCTACATTTTATAACTGTAATTCAAAAAATATCAAATGTTCCTAAATTATAAGTAAAGTTGAGATGTATAAAAGTGCAGCTGAAGGAGAGATTTATGGTTCACATCAATAAAAAATAAAGTAATTCTGACTAAATTACCTTTAAAAAAATCTAGAGATGGACGTTTTGAATGTTGACTTTACATTTGGTAAAAAGCCTCCCTCAAAAATTGACAGTTGCATGAAAGAAAATGTTTTTGCCTGCTGTGTCGCGCATTAAAACTAGTTAAGGCATTAAAGGAAATGTTACAGTTTGCATCCCTGCTAGTTTCCTTTGAATCTGTCGCAGTACAGTGTCATTACGTATGAAGCAGTTTTGCTAAACCCTGTTATCCCCCATAATCCTGCTGGCTCGAAAGAGAAAGTAATTTCTGATCTTTCAACAGAGTCCTGTCAGAAAACATGTACACTTCTTATCCACCTTGTACAATAACTTTATGGAAGGTTGTATCCTATCAATCACAGTCATACAAGCCTTGCGTAGATTACAGTGATGTATGCAGACTTTGTGAAAATAATAATCTAATGCAAAGGATCCTAACCACCTTACTTGAACCTAAAAAAGTAATAATAATAAAAACATGAATGAAAAATACCTTATAATTTATATTTATTTATATTTATAATGTTTCCAAAAATGTTAAAATTACCAAGCATAAAAAATAAATAACACAAACTAAGCGAACTGCAAAATACACAGTTACACATAATGTGATTATGTAGATATACAATTAATATAAACACTATATAAATATTAATATAGTAAAACGTAAAAAAAACTGTAAAAAATAAAACATAGTAATTTTAAAAACAAACAAAAACAACTTTATCTATCTATCTATCTATCTATCTATCTATCTATCTATCTATCTATCTATCTATCTATCTATCTATCTATCTATCTATCTGTCTGTCTGTCTGTCTGTCTGTCTGTCTGTCTGTCTGTCTGTCTGTCTGTCTGTCCGTCCGTCCGTCCGTCCGTCCGTCCGTCCTTCCATCCATCCATCCATCCATCCATCCATCCATCCATCCATCCATCCATCCATCCATCCATCCATCCATCCATCCATCCATCCATCCATCCATCCGGGCTGCACAATATTGGAAAAAATCCTGACATTGCGGTATTTTGTCTTTCTGGGATATACGTTTTAATATGAATATAATTTCACAATAGATGAACTAAATAGCTCTACTTGAAAAAATTCTCACATCTGCATAAAACATAATAAACTGTTTGCAAGCACAGATGAATACAATAGAAAAAAAATTAAGCTGCAAAAATTTAAGATTAGTTTTGTGTTTTATATTTTTTGTGGAGTCTATGAACATAAATTCAACATTAATTAAATGTCTTCATTCTATAAAGAATTAAATATGATTTAATTATTGTTAAATTAAATTTCTTGGTTTAAATTCGCTTGATATTCTAGTCACAGTTCTTTAAAACGCATTCAAATGAAAATCTTTCACTCTTTAAGGATTCATGTTTGTGACTATTAGAAATACACACATTGTAATAACAATGCTAAAACTGTATATTGTGCAGCCCTATTTTATATATATATATATATATATATATATATATATATATATATATATATATATATATATATATATATATACAATTCATAATCTTGACCCATTACAACTCTATTAGCCTATTAAATTATTACTATAATGATGTTTATAATCATGCTCCATTTGGTCTGTGACCTCTGTCAATAATAACTGATTCCCATTGTGTTTGAGATCATTTTACAATCCCAGTACAAATATTACTCCATTATGACACACTGTGCGTTTTGATCACCTGAGGAACTTGTTGAGGTCTCCATGTTTCATGTACTCGAAGACCATGATGAGTGGGTCTCCGTCCACACAGACGCCATAGAACTTGACTATGTGCTCGTGCTGAAGGTTGGTCAACAATTCGGCCTCACGCTGGAAATCTTTCCTTGCTGCAAGTGTGGGATCCTTCAAGGTCTGCAAAATAAATAAATTACGATTATATATTGGCTTGGCAGTCCATTTCCAAGCCAAAACATTCTCGAGCAAATACTTCAACACTGAGACAAAAATCCAATATTTTTTTTTTTTGGGAAAAGCTCATTTAAATGCACGTTTTAAATGCAGATCATTAATATTAGAGAAAATATTGTAGGAATTAAATACGCCTTTGCTGTTACTTTGTTGATACTCACTGGTACCAGTAAATTAATTAAGGGAGCTTTAATGAGTCAGTCAGTAATAAATAATTCAAGTGAACAATTAATCAGGTTAATGAGACTAAGTGCTCCAACTAATCTAAATGGATCTGTCTAATGCTTTATGAATCCCGTAAATTTGCAATCGTATACAAATCAATGAAGCATGCATGAGCTGCTTTTGACAACGTTATGCTTTTTTAGATATTATCTTTAATGTATGAGTGTGATGGAGCTGTTTGTGAATCTAAACAGCAGAGATCTAAAGGAACTATTTTTTATGGTGGGATTTAATCAATTTGATCACAGGATTTTAAAATGTTTTGAACTTTCGACAACTCCAGGATATAATCTGCATTTATTTTGATTGTAGGTCCAACTTGTAGTGGACCAAATAGAACCTAAGAACTTACCTTGGTGCTGTGACCCAAGGTTATTATAGTTAACAAAAAAAAAAAAAAGAAACATTTTCGTTAACTGAAATAAAAATAAAAACGAGAGTTTAAAAAAAAACAATTAGGACTATCTGAAACTGTATTGTGTACATACAAATACATACAAACTGAAACTAACTAAAATTATAGCAAAAATGTCCTACGTTTTCATCTTTGCAAATGTAATAATACATATTGTAAGCCTTTTAGAAGTAAATTTATTTCGTGCTGTCAGCTGTTTGACCATATACGGCACTTCAGAGTATGTAATCTTGATGCCATTGCCCAGATAAAGCCGGTTCTCCTCCAGACAGTCTTCGCTGTTGCTCCCGTGACAAAAACAACGAGTGGACATGACAGCGGTACGGTGGCAGCATTAAATAATACCTGAGCAGACACTTAAAAGTATTAATTTAACACTTTTGTGCCCAAAAAATGGATTTTATTTCTAAATTAGTGATCACAATTGAAAAGAATCCTTCTTTTAAACCAAATATTCTAAAGTGAACCGGCAGAACCAATTCACCAAATCGAACTGAACCATTTAAAATGAGTTGCGTCTCCAGTAATGTTAAGCATGTGTCTATAAACAACTTACTTTGTACATGCCTGATACCCCCTCTGACTCAAATAAACCAATTTATACTGAGTTATTCAGGTATTAGAACAGTACACTAAGATTAGATTTGAGAAATGGTGAACCGATAATTCTTATTCAGTGAACTAAACACAAACAGTACATGACAGCCTGCTGTGACTGAACTAAACTGCAGCGCGGATAAACTGAGGGCTAAAAAAAGTTTGTTTCATCACAGAAAGTCGTAATGGAATGTAAATCAGTAAATTATGCTTCAGTTGGGAGTTGTGAAATGTAATCATAAGAAACTTTTTAGATCATGGTGATGTTTTAGCCAAACTGACTGAAATTATGATTGCTGACTACATATTTTTAATATGTTGAGTCCAAACTAACAAAAACTAAAACTGATATTAAAACTAATAAAAAAACTCAACTAAAACTAAGCAACTTCAAAATATTGAAACTAATAAAAACTAGTAAATTTACCTCTAAAAACAAATTTGAAAACAAAAAGTCAAAAAGAAATAAATACTAAAACTAATGAAAAATGCAAAACTATTATACCTTGCCATGACCCGGATAGCAGTGATATTTAGGGAGATGAGTGTAATGGAGACAAAATAGTAAGAGCTATGAGAGTAAATCTCTCAAAATATTGGTAACACTTTTTTTGATGATCCATTTGAGTATTAGTCTGCTTAATATCTGTTGATACTACTCCTTCAACACAATTAACTGACTATGAGACACTTTTAAAGTACATGTCAACTTACACTAACCCTAACCCCAACCTAACAGTCTACTTATAATCTAATGAGAAATAGTTGGCATGTAGATGTAATGTAATGTAATGTAATGTGTATTTTTATATAGCTTATTTATTGTGTATGGCCATACACCCAAAGCGCTTTACAATCATGAGGGGGGTCTCTCCACACCACCACCAGTGTGCAGCATCCACTTGGATGATGCGACGGCAGCCACAGGACAACAGCGCCAGTGCGCTCACCACACACCAGCTATTGGTGGAGTGGAGAGAGTGATCGAGCCAATTCGGTGGAAGGGGATGATTGGGAGGCCATGATCGTAAGGGCCGATAGAGGGACTTTGGCCAGGACACCTGGGTTACACCCCTGCTCTTTCACGAGAAGTGCCATGGGATTTTTAATGACCACAGAGAGTCAGGACCTCGGTTTAACGTCTCATCCGAAAGACAGCGCCCACTTACAGTGTAGTGTTCCCTTCACTTTTACTGGGGCATTAGGTCTCACACAGACCACAGGTTGAGCGCCCCCTGCTGGCCTCACTAACACCACTTCCAATAGCAACCTAGTGTTCCCTAGTGGTCTCCCATCCAGGTACTGACCAGGCTCAGCCCTGCTTAGCTTCAGTGAGTAACCGGTCTTGGGCTGCAGGGTGTTATGGCTGTGACCAAGATGCAATGTAAATTCAACAAATGGACCATCAAAATAAAGTGTGACCTAAATATTTTTAGATATTGGCCTAAATATTCATTACAAGTAACACGCCTTAAGCATTAGTACATTGACCATTGCTTTTTCTACTGCACATAATATGCTACCCCTCGTATTAAAAATAAGTAAAATTACATTTACTCTACTAGCATTTGTACAACACAGTGATTTTAAATAGAGACTATTATAAATATTTAAATTATAGCGTTGGTTCTGTATTGGCGTTTGTTCTCAGGAATTGCAAAGAAGTTGGAGATGTGTGTGGAAAACCAATAACTCTCAGATGGTGAGGTATCTATCCCTATTCATGATGCTATATTACCCCTGTGTTGCAAAATTGGCCACCTGTGCAGGTTGGAGAGAGCAGAGAGGATGAATCCAGCAGCTAGCTCTCTGCAACTCTCACATGGCCACCCACTGAAGCTAAGCAGGGCTGCCCATGGTCAGTACCTGGACGGGGGACCCAGCAGGGGGTGCTCAACCTGCGGTCTGTGTGGGTCCTATCACCCCAGTATAGTGAAGGGGACTCTATACTGTTCAGTGAGCAGTTTCTTTTGGATGAGACTTTAAACCGACGTCCCGACTCTCTGTGGTCATTAAAAATGCCAGGTTGTCCTTCGAAAAGAGTGGGGGTTTAATGCCCGGCATCCTGGTCAATGGCCTCCTAAACATTCCCATGTGATAATTGGTCTACTCTCCACCAATCAGCTAGTCTGCGGTCTGGCGCAATATGGCTGCCCGTAGCATCATCCAAGTGGATGCTGCACACTGGTGGATGAGGAGATTCCTCCCAATATGTAAAGTGCTTTGTGTATCCAGAAAAGCGCTATATAAATATGTATGGAATTTTAATTATTATTAGTAGTAAGAACCTTTTCAAATAGTATAACCTGGCACAATAACCGCATAATCAAAACGTAAATGGACTGACACAAATGTGAAATTGAACAGGCATCAGTCTTTCAGAAAAGTCATTTGTTTTTCTACAATTTGAAATCATTTTCATGGACGAGGCACTAAACCTTGGGGTGCCAAGAAAAGACATACAGATGACCGGCATGGTGTCTCTTCCAAAAGATTAAATAGGTCCCTGCTCACATCTGTCTTTTTGTCATCTTATAGCCCGTCATTCACAGAAAAAAATAACCCCCCTTTGTGGCCTTGCCCATGATATGTCAATTGGTTTCCCCCGTCGCTCTCCCGCAGCCAGACATGGCATTGCGGTGTGTTTGTGAAGAATCGCTTCTTCAATTATGTTATAATTGCATTCGCCCTCTGAGCTCGCAGTTTAATTTTAATTAGAGCTACCGTGGGTTAATCCATATCAGAAATTGCAAAGAGGTTGATGCGTTGGAGATGGATGAGGAAAACCGATAACTCGCAGATGGCGAGGTATCTATCCCTATCCATAATGTTATATTACCCCTGTGTTGCGAAATTGGCCGCCTGCACAGGTTGGAGAGAGCAGAGGGGACGAATCCAGCACCACCTGGGGGGCTGTCACTTGTAATAAGGGGCTGGAGGTCTTGGGCATCAGGTGGAAATCGGGGGGAGGGGGAAGGGGGGGTGTTGGAGTGAAGGTACGAGAGGGGACGCTGGCAGCTCTTTGGCCAACATACAAGGAAAAGACTTGACCTCTCTGAATCGGAGCTGGACAGGTTTCAAACAACATCTGCTGTGATGGAGCTTCATGAAGCCAAGCAGGTTCCCAGAGGAGCATTTTATTGCTCAGAGGTTTGCACTTTCAATGCTGAGGAGACTCGTTTAGATTTCATTTAAGTGTCAAGTGGGCCTCAGGCCATATGTTTAGACTTCAATTTCTGAGAAGAAGTAAAAATGGATTACACAATTTTTGAATTGCAGAAGAAGTATAAAGCTATCAGAATAATGTAGATCACGTTGCTTAAATATATTTCTCATCTTTGATTTGCCTTTTCTTTGAGACTTTAGGCTTGTGTCTAATCTGTTATATTTATTCTGTAATATGTGTAAGATTATAGAACCTTTTTTTTATTGAGATATAAGAAGTTCTAGAAAATGGTTGTCTCCATCCTGTCTGAGAGAAATATTTGAGATTGTATTTTCTCCTTTCGATTTTGCTGGTAAAATGCTGAGAATCTCCTCCTGACACCATCACATGATTGTGACAGAAAGTGTCAGTTCCATTAGTCTTGATCAGCGTCTTCAGAATAATGGGCTTTGCCGAATGATAAACCATCACTAGCAGACAGCGTTATTGCTCTAGATTTATTTCTTCAGCCATTCTGTACTAAAGCACCACCCCACGATAGCCAACATATTCTCACAGATGATGAAATAAAGGAACGCCTAAGCAATCTGGGAGCTGAAAACATCTATATCCCACAAAGGCAATGTTGTCAGTGATTTGGTTTATTATCATTTGCACTAAATATATTAATAAATATACATAAACCTTGAAAAAAAAATCACGAAGATGGCTTGAACAATACAGATGTATTTTAGTCATGTGTAACTTCTCTTTATTTTTGTCATCATTCAGACCATTTCTCTCTGTATTTTATTCAGATTTAGTCATGCTTTCTGTGTGAAACCTAAATTACTTGTGGCAATTCACTATTATTATTATCATGCTATATATAATTCCGCTATATTACACTCCCTTCTGGGTCATGGCACCAATTTATATGTTTTTCTCGAATTGCTCCGAGTAAGATTTAAACAAGTTTTTCAGGTATTGGATTCAGTAATAGAAACAAGGACTCTAAAGACTGAAGGCTCTAGCTGCTAGTTTTCCCCTTTCTAACTGGCCTCTGTTACACTTACCTTGTTATACCTCACTCGCATTCGGGTCATGGCACCTATTTAAACCCTACAGTTTTACTCACACTGCCTTGAGTATGATAAAAAAAAAAATAATAATTGTGTTTCTGGTGTGGGATTTGGTTGCAGTAACAAGGACACTAAAGACTTGAGCCTCTATTGTCAGTTGATAGTTTTTTCCTTGCTAACCGGCTTCTCTTACACCTCACTCACATCCAGGACAAGACACCAATTTAAGCCCTACAGTTTTACTTGCACTGTTTTAAGTTTGATTTAAAAAAGGTTGAAAGATTAGCATTTCTGGTGTGGGATTTGGTTGCAGTAACAAGGACACTGAAGACTAAAGAGAACACGGGTGTCAACTTCTAGAGGGCCACAGTTCTGCACAGTACAGCTCTAACCCTAATCGAACACACATGATCAAACTAATTGAGTCCTTCAAGCTTGTTTGAATTCTAGAGAAAAGTGTGTTTAAACAGGCTTGGACCTTAACTCTGCAATGCTGTGGCCCTCCAAGAACTGAGTTTGACGCCCTTGACTTAGAATGTAATATTTTCATTAAAACACCAGGTATATGTTCGACTTCATCCTTCAGCTTGCCAGCATCATGGAAACCTTGACATTTCCAAACTGATAGACAAACTGATGCACTTATAGATACATCATTGATCAAGAAAACCTCTTTAATAGACCTCCACTTCAGCTCACTGGATGATGAGTTCCTTGACCTTGGTGAACGGTCCCATGCGGTAAACCAAGTTAAAGCATTATCCAGCAACTGTCTGGCCACAGCAGTGACTCATTCCTCTCTGTCTATGTCACGGAGACTAAACCACAGTCCTGCAATATCCTAATACCCCCCCAAACCTTATATCATTGCCAAATATTAAACACTATTGTAGCTGATCTCTCCTCGGAGCATAGCAGAGCTCTTTCCATCATTGATCTTAGTCAACAAATCCTCCACCGCTAAGACATCTAGCGATCGTTCCCCCGAAAGAAACCTCTCTCTGGTGGCACAGGGGGGATCAGCTTTATATGTCATTCGAGGGGGGCTGGGAAAAGGGGCAAGACCTTTGGAATGAGTCCTGTGTAACTGGAGAGCGCTGGAATGGAGGGATCATCTCTTACCTTGACAGCCACCAGCATCTTGTCCTTAGTGGGGCTTAGGTTGTAACACTCTGCCAGGAACACCTTCCCAAAGGCCCCTTCGCCCAGTTCCCTCTTGAGCACGATGTCTCGACGCTTAATGTGCTGTACATCTGGAGGGGGAGAAGAAGGAGAGAGAGAGAGAGAGACTGAGTGGATTGTAAGACAGTCTTCCTGCGGGTTGTGCACCAAAACAGATTTGTGAGAAATGTGGGGATTTCATCGGAGTAGGCGACCTGTCAGTCAAGCTGATCAGGAACCTTAAAGGAACAGAGCACCAAAACTGACATTTTTATGGCATTGAAAGTTGTCAAACAGGCAGTTTTTTGTAAAACACTAAATATGAGAGGTCACTAACTTTTTATTAAACTGTACCTTAAATACATCCAATGGTGTGAGCAAAAGAGAAGAAAACTGTTCATTTTAATATACAAATAGCATGAGGCTGGTTTATTTTTTTATGTTATAAAAAAAATAACATTAATAAAATAACATTAATATCTTCATTATACACTGCAAAAAAATTATTTTATTTTACATTTTTTTCAAGGGTACCAGAAAAAATAAAGTAACAGACGTTAAATTACAGAAATTTCCAAAAATTTAAATTTCCGAAAAATTTCTGTAATTTAATGTTGATTTACAGTAAATTTCTGTAATTTGACGGCCATTATTTTTTTGAGTTTTTTGGCACTCCAGCTGCAGAACAACAACAACAACAACATCAACAAAAAAAAAAAAAAGTAAAATAACATCTTTTATTTTTACTGTGTAGTGCTATTTACCATAAAAGAACCAACATTAAATTACAGAAATTTCCTTCAATTTTAATTTCCAGTTAATTTCTGTAATTTAACATCTGTTGTTTCACGGTAAATTTTTAAAGGCTGTTGTTTTACTTTTTTTCATCACTCCAGCTGCCGAAAAAAAAAATCAGAAATTTTTTTTTTTTAAAGTTTTTTTAGAGTGTACTGCTATTTACTTTATAGCAAAATATGAATAATTTCTTTTTTTACTCCATGACTTGTTGGACTTTAAAAAAAAAAAGAGAAAGAAAAAAAGTATCAAGTTCTAAGTTTTTTAGATACACATGAATGTAAAACGTAAAATAATGCTGTTATAAAAATAGCAGCCGTTATTTTACTTCTTTTTTTTCCGGCACCCCAGCTGACAAAAAACTAAAACGTAAAATAATGGCTGTTAAATTAAGAATAAGAAATAAGAATAAGAAATCTACCTTAAAATAACGAATGTTAAATTACAGAAATGTCCTTAAATTTCTCTGTAATCTCTGTAATTTAACATCTGTTATTTTGCAGTAAATTTCTGCAATTTACAGGCTATTAATAAATTTTTTTTTTTTTGGCACCCTAGCTTCCAGAAAAAAAAAACACAATATAACGTCCTTTAACTTACAGAAATTTACCGTAAATTTAATTACAGACATTAAATTATGCATATTATATATATATTTTTTTTTGTCCATGACTTGTTGGACATTTACAAAATAAAAAGATTAATAATAAACTGTAATAATAAACTGAAGGAAAAAAATGTATCAAGTTTCAAAGTTTTTAGAAATATATAAATAAAAATATGACGGTCATTTTCAAAAATAGCCTAAATAGCTATTAGGTACTACTACTAATGGGTATTTAGTAAGGAATTTATGATTTGAGCTGCATTTTAATTGACAATTATATTCATTATATTCATTTGTGTCATGCGCGACAACCACACTTATAGAATGACAAACGATGAATAAAAATTAATTTAATGTAATATTAAATGTATTTAAGTTTTGCTTTTATACTGACTAATCTATCGTAAAACCAACAAACCAGACAAATATCTTTCTATAGGACTTCATAGAAAGTATTCATTTAAAAGTCAGATGAATGTTTTTGCTTCTGAGAAATCTGTCCTCATTTACACTGGCCACTGTATGGATCATGCTCTTTCATATCATATTTACATTCTAAAAGGTTCTGCAAGGTAGGCTGCCAATAGTTGTTCAGCTTTCATGTGCTTATTATCTTCATCCTACAGTACATACTGCACTGTGATATCTGAATGCATTCCATTCAACTCGAGTGCCACAATGTATCTGCCTGTTTGGTATATCCGCACAACACATTCATAGCTGCACGGTTTTACATCACAAACCTTGTGCTATACTTCCTTTTGGGAGCTGCGGTATGAAATGATCTAAGCAAGAGAGATCAGGTGGATTTGCCTGTGAAAGAGAGATGAATGGAGTGGCGTGTGGTCCAGCGGGCAGGGTAATGGAGCAGTAACCAGTCGGCGGCCGGTTCAAGTCCCCGCTGAGCCTTACTGCGCCTCTGCCCTTGACTGACAAATAGAACCACAAACGCCCTAATAAATACCGCCACCACATTACAGAAGGCAGGCGATAATCTGGAGATGATCGTCTCCTGTCTGACTTTGATGCGCAGATAATCGCCGGGTGTTATGAAGAAATTTGATCGATAGAACAACATATATAGTGGCCTCGACGAGAGAAATGAAAAGCAACAAACAAAAGCTTTCCTAGCTGAGATAGTTTTTTTTAGAAGACTATCAATGGTACACATTGAAGTGTGTTGCATTTAATCTTGTGTCCACAGCAATAATGTATACTAAAAAGGGTTGTAAAATATATTAAATGCTATTAATAATAAACACAGAAACATGCGATCAGCACTACCCTGTCACAATTCTAATAATATTCATTCCTATTATATATTCTTAAGCACCAAAAAAAGGCATTTTTGTGACATTGAACAGCAATAAATAATATTTTTACATTATTGTGAGGGTTGCGTTCAGGGTTGAGGTAGGGGTAGACGCTAATAAAATACAATTAATGTATAATTTAATATATATATATATATGTATATATATATATATATATTTATATTTATACAACATTTCCATCTGGTTCTCGAATTTGATTTGCTGATAGCCGTGATATATTTAAGTAATATGAGCACCCGTACAGCCTCTTTACCCTGTGTGTATTACTCCGCCCACAAACAGCCAGCAAAAAGCAGATACTACAGATCTAAAGGTTAAAAGGTGCTTGTTCAGCTGTTTAACTGTCAGCTTATGATTTGAATCCAAGGTGGAAGAAAGTAGTTCCTCATACAAAAGGGTTTTTGAGACATGTTTGATTTTGTTTTTATATACACAATTATGCCGTCAAACTGTTGTATAAACACAATATCACATGAGTAGCAGTAGCTTTAACGCACGCCTCCCACCAGTGCCGATCTACAGCCATATCGCACTGCTACTCGTGTGTTATTGCTCTCTCTCTCTCTCTCTCTCTCTCTCTCTCTCTCTCTCTCTCTCTCTCTCTCTCTCATATATATATATATATATATATATATATATATATATATATATATATATATATATATATATATATATATATATATATATATAAAAAACACAGATACCACTGCTAAAGCGTAAAAATCTACTAATAATTACACACAATTATGTCAAGATGAATATTCTGATCACTACCAGTTAATTCAACACATGCATTACCAACTGTATTGTTTACAATCAAGCATTTTGATTGAGTACTTTAATAGATCTACAGTTCAAGACAAGATGTACTTCTGTTTTATGCCTGTTGTAATTATGATAAAAAAGCATTATACTTGTGTTTGCTTTACTGCCACCCTGAGAAATCAAGGTGATTATCCGATACTTAACTGTATAGTCAAAATATAAGTACACAATTACATACTGTGGTGACCCTATACTGTATGTTTTACAAAAAAACAACAACAACAAAACAAACAGTAATTCATTATAAATGGCAAACAGTTTATTCTTATATTGCTTATAATGAACAGATGGAATGCCAATAAAGTTGGTGTCTAACTTCCTAGTCAGGGGTTTAATATAGGGCTTCCAAGAGGGTCCCAAAATGAGGAGAATGATGTCCTAAGTCACTTTATTAATCCTGACAAATGTCTTGAAGTAAATCGTCTAAATTATTGGTGTCCAAACTCAGTCCTGAAGGTTCAGTGTCCTGGAGAGTTCAACTCTAACCCTAGTTGGAGCTAGACTCAGCAGAACTCAGTGAGACTCAGTGTGGTAGCCATATTTGACTCTGGTCCAATTGTTTATTGTAAAATAATACCCACAAGTCTGCTGTTAATTGAAATTCATTCATGTTTATGTTTGGATTACGTCCAAATTTCTACTGGTTCTTAAATTGAATAAAAAAAAAAATGTAAGCACACTTTTACAAGTGACCTTTCCTGATGCTACGCACAGGTTGATAACCTATTTACAATCCGAATAGAAACATCAAATTGAGCAGTTTTAACCGCGGCCACTGAAGCGTAGCTCGCCATGATGTAAGGCAGCCTGAGTGGGTCTTTAATCTCTGTACCGTCCACCTGCTTCCATTCCCAGCTCTCAGTCTGCTGCACGGCGCGAGCTCCATATGGCCGAACACCACGACATCTGCTATTTACTCCAACAGGAGTTCTGGAGAAACCGCCATCCAACATCAACACTTACCGCCCAAAAATTACCAGTCATTCCGCTATATTTTTCCCCATAATAAAAAAGCTCAATTCTCCAAGGGAAAAAATAACAAATATTGATAAATGGACAGCTCTTGAGGATAGTTTTTTATAGTAGCTGGCAAATGCAGGAGGAATTAGATCATTGGCAAACAAAAAAATACTACTTACTACTAAAAGTACCTGCTCATTTTTTTCTGAGAATATGCATGATATCGTCTAAACGGCCTTACTGAATTGAATGTCAGCTTTTTTAAAAGGATAGTTCACCAAATAAAGAAAATTAACTTATCGTTACTTTTCTCACGTGGTTTGAAACCTATATATTCTTTTTTTTCTATTGAACACAACATTTAAAATTTTGAAGAATGCTGAGTCATCGACTTCCATAATAGGAAAACAAATACTACGAAAGTCAATAGATACCACCATTTTTCACAATATCTTTTTTGTGTTCAACAGGAGAAGCTCAAAAACTCTTTAATTTCCTGTACCCTAATAAAGAAGCTGCACAATTACCAGACATTCGCAATTAACCCTTAAAGACAGTGACGGCCGCCCAC